ACTTGGATGACTGTGATGTTGAAAGGTCTGCCTTGGATTCATATTGAAATCATTCTCTCATTTTTGAGATTATATCCCAGTGCAGCTTTTCCCACTCTTTTATTGACTATGAGGGCTACTCCATTTCTTCTACGGGATTCTTGCCCACAATAGTAGATATGGTAATCATCTGAATTGAATTCGCCCATTCCTGTCCATTTTAGTTCACCGACACCCAGAATGTCAATGTTTATTCTTGCCATCTCCTGTTTTGACAACATCCAGCTTCCCAAGATTTATAGTTCTTACATTCCAGTTATATAAACATCCAGATTCCTATGCAGTATTTTTCTTTGCAGCATCAGACTTTGCTTTCACTTCCAGGCGCGTCCACAGCTGAGCGTCCTTTCAGCTTTGGCCCAACCACTTCATTAGCTCTGGAGCTACTTGTACTTGTTCTCCGCTCTTCCTCAGTAGCATGTTGGACACCTTTCGACCTGAGGGGCCCATCTTCCAGCATTATATCTTTTAGCCTTTTGCTTCTGATCATGGGCTGTTCTTGGCAAAGATACTGGAGTGGCTTGCCAGTATCTGCTCCAGGTAGATCACATTTAGTCAGAGGTCTCCATTATGACCTGTCCATCTTGGGTGTCCCTGCATGGCATAGTCCATAGCTTCTCTGAATAACTCAAGCCCCTTCGCCATGACAAGGCAGCAATCCGTGAAGGGGGAGCATGGAGGCAGTGGAATATAGATTGGCAGATTGTCACTCCTTAAGGCTGTAATCACTTTTTGGCTAGTCTGGGGTGAAAGGATATGATATGCCTGTCTCCTTTTATTTATATAAGTTCCATTCTCCCCATTTGTCTATAGGTTCAGCTAATTTGGATCACCACACCATATGTCTGCCAGTATAGAGAAAAGAAGAAGGGTGTTACAGTCCAGGTATTCAGTTGGATACCTTGTCCTGCAACATACAGAATAGCCGGCACAGAGACCATGTGGTGGACAATGATTTCCAATCCATATGCCACGTTAATGTTCTGTTTGTTTCTGTTGCCATAGACTTTCTGTACTCTACTGAATAATAAGGTTTATGTGCTTAATGGTTATACATTGGTACAGATGTTTTTTGGTTTAGTGACTGGATTTCATAATACAGATATTGAAGCAAATTGTGGAGAGGATGGGGAACATCCTCTCCAGACATTTGAGAGTATACCTCCAACAATCCTTTATGACTGCCTAGAGTCTAAGTAATCGTTCATAACATCTGGAGGATCATCTCACCCCCTTGATGCAAGGAAATACTAATTCATATGATCCTCACTATAATAAGTGGTGGCTATAATCTTAATGTTAAATAGCCTCTAGAAGGTTTTTAAAGTCTTCTTTTATGAATGTTGAGGAATTTAAAAACTTGGAAAAATACCATAGAAATTTTACGCTTTTATGCCATAAATTAATAGTGATATGTCAGCTACCAATAATGTTCTCTGAGTATTGAGAGCTTCAGTTGACTAACGTTAAAATATTAGGTAGAGTTGTCACCTCTTTGTATATGTTGCAGTCCACAAACTAGCAAGAAAGAGTATGATTTAATTCTTTCTCCCTTAAGTTATCAAGAACTAAGCTAGTATTGTATTGTTATGTACCATCATTTCAACTTGGTGACCCTAACAGGATTTTTAAGTTGTATGACATGTTCAAAGAATGGTTTACCATGGCACCCCCAGTTCGAGTTTCCAAGGTTGGGTGGAAATTTGAAACAAACTCTTCTGAGTCGTAGTCTATACATTATACCACACTGTTTTTTTAAGTATTTCAAACATTTTATCAAAGCTTCAGTCGTGCAAAAGGGCCCTGTTAAATGTTGCTTTCAGTGGGTGTGGTGATGTTATCTTGTACAGATATACCTCAGTCACTTTATTCATTTGATTTTTTAAAAGAGGCTGGAGATCTCAGATTAGGATCAAACATCGCAGTTTGCTGCTAATACTCATACTGTATAGAATTCAATGTGCAAATGGAATGACATTCAAAGTTTCCTGCACACCAAGTCTTGGTAACCCATTTTGACACTTTTTGAGGAAAACACATTTTGCATTCAGTTGTAAAATATGTTAGGAATTGTATTGCAGTAAAATTCTTGTTATATAACTGTGTTCAAAGCCCTCCATTTCAGCCCCTCTGATTGGTTTATCCTTGCATGTTCATTGTCCAGCATGAAGCGTGCCAGTTCACTGAATGTTCTTAACATGGTTGGCAAGGCAACTGAAGATCACATTCAAGTAAGGAGCCCTATAATATTCTTACGCATGTAGAGATAGTGCTAGGAGGTCTTGAAGGTCTATATGTGCCAATAAAGTAGTGATACTTCGGGATTATTCTTTGGATCCTATTTTAAATAATATATAGTTTATCATGTAGAGGTTACTGTGTAGGATAAACTATTTGACCCCAACTGTTTTAATGTCCTTGCCAGAGTGAAGATTCTGTTTTACAGTGGTGCCTTGCTTAACGATTGCCCCGCATTACAATGAATCCGCTTTACGATGATCTTTTTGTGATCGCAAAACTATGGTCTAAATGGGGGAATTTTGCTTAGCGATGATCGGTTCCCTGCTTTGGGAAATGATTTTCGCTTGGTGACTATCAAAAACAGCTGATCGTCGGGTTTGCAAAATGGTCACCAGTACTCAAAATGGCTTCCCGCTGTGCTTAGGGATGGATTCCTTGCTATACAGGAAGCGAAAATGGCCGCCATATGGAGGATCTTCGCTGGACAGTGAGTTTTTACCCCATTGGAACGCATTGAACGGGTTTCATTGTGTTTCAGTGGGGGTTTTAATATCGCTTTACGATGTTTTTGCTTAACGCCGATTTTCCTGGAACGGATTATCGTTGTTAAGTGAGGCACCACTGTATTTCTGAAGCAGCCACCAGTGGCTGCTTGCATCTGTGGATTTTGTCCTCTCACCTACTGATGTTTACAGATAATTCAATACTCTTCCTAATTACCTATATAGCAGTCAGCACAAACAATAAGCACCAGATACTTGGACCTTATTCACACAGACAGCAAATGAAGTATAAAACTGTTCCATAACTCCACACTTCACAGTGTGGTTGGGAACTGCATGGATTAATAATTCTTCTTATCTGCCTTCCCTATTCCTGCAAACGTCCTAGAGACTATGTTTTTGCTGCACACAACCCTTTTTGTGTGGGAGAAAATGTGTTATACATTTTAACATGAAATGAACAGTGAGAATCTATTTGAAAACACTGCAGTGGAGTCAAACAGCTACATATGATCAGGCTTCTATTGAGCTTTGCATGGAGCTGCCCTCAGTAAAGATTCTGAGGCTGGTATGGATATGAAACATAGGAACCTGCCTTGTTGAAAGTAGAGGTAGACAGGACAGCCTACCAGAGTTACAGTCCAGTAAGCTGTATGTGAAAGCTACTAAGCTCTTTGAAGCCTAATTTCCACTTGAAGTAACAGGCCACCATTCTTCATGTTACATTGTGGGTTTGCAGAAATTTTAAAATATTCAGGCTACCATTTGTGACTTTAGCTTCTAGTAATATTAAAAGAATATTCACTGTTAAAATGTATCTGCTGAAGAGGGCTTACTGAGGGAAGGGAATATTGGAGTAGGCCTGGGACAACCCATAAGATTGCCAGTTCAGGTCTCAAAACCATAGCCCTTGCATATTGTTTATATAAAAATATACTTTTCATGTGCCATAATCTTCGTCTGTACTTCATGTAACAGCCTTACCTAAATTACCAGAGTCCTGTGCCTGTTAACTAACATGTAACTACAACTAACTTGTGGAGAAGTAGCAAAATGCTTCAGTACTAATTTGTTGTGTATGTTAAAAGATTTACAAGGAAATATTTATAAGGAAAGGAAACACAGCCTTCATGGGGGCATTCCAGTTATCTGAGATATTCTTGCATTAATATGAGGTTTCAAAAAAATCTATTATGGTTCTAAACCTCAGTAGTTTATAAGGGCAATCCAAAAACACTTTAACAAACACAGAAATATTCTGTACTCTGGTTAAATTTTTAGGATTATCAGACAAATGGCAATAGAATTGTATAAAGCAGGGGTAGACAAACTTCAGGATTGTTGAGTCTTTGACTAGGATCCTGGAATCAACTCATCAGAGTCAAATAAGTGCTGATGACAGATCCTTAGATTGAGAGAACAGGGTGCTCCTGAGCATATTCTGAATGTAAGAATTAGTTATTAGTAACAGAGCTGCGATGAACTTGCACTCATTTCATATCAAAGCCCATTTTTGGTTACTCCACACCACCTTTGTTGTAGTTGCCTGATAGGGGTGTACATGCCATTTTTGTTATTTATCCTGTTAAACTGCTGGGAGTTAGAAGCCCTTCGTAAAAGCCCTGCACTCAAATTTATCAATAGATTCCAGTCCACCATCTGCTCATTTCTCTTGTAGGGGGCAGAGCTTGTAGGACAACAAGAAGGATTTGTTAGCATTGAGCTCATAGGGCTGATATATAATAGGTTGCTCTGCATGTGTGTGCCCTACACACATATATGGGGCAGCATGGGGTGGAGGACTTGTGGCATGAATCAGAGTTGTGCTGCATGGAGCTTTGTGGTGCAATGGTTAACACTGCAGTACTGCAGTGGAAACTGCTCAGGACCTGAGTTCGATCTCAGGTAGCCGGCCTGAGATTGACTCAGGCTGCTATTCTTCTGAGGTCAGTAAATTGAGTGGCCAACTCCTGGGGGGAGGGGCAATGTGTAGCCTGCCTAATTAAATTGGAAACCGCCCAGAGCATGCTTTAAGCACTATGGGATGGTATATATACGTTTTGCTTTCAGATATTCCAAATGTCTTATGTATTTTCCACTGAGATGAACAGCCTATGAGTTATAATTCCTTCAGTCAGCAGGAATAGTATATCATCTCTTAGTTCTTAATAAATTCCACAGTAACATACATTGCAAACAATGTTAGGCAACAATTTTTAGCACTTCCAGAGTACAACATTTTTAAAAAAATTGGACTAGAAAATCTTTGTCTATTGCAAGCCATCAGTTTTCTGTTGTAAGAACATACTGTATTTTTCCATGTATAAGACACCCCCATGTATAAGATGCCTCCTACTTTTCTAATCCAAAATTAAGAAATCTAAGTGGGGCTTAGCAAGTGTAGGGGGAAAGGGATCAAAGCACTGCAGGATCGCTTTGATCCCTGCTTTACCCTCCACTTGTTTGTTCTCTCCTCAGTTTACTTCCGTGTATAAGATGACCCTCAGTTTTTAGTCTAAAGATTTTAGGCAAAAGTATAGTCTTATACGTGGAAAAATACAGTATATAAAGCAAGGCTGTAAAGAAGGAAGGGGTGATGTGTGGTGGAAATTTTCTCTCTTTCCCACCCCATGCTCCTGAAAAAAAAATTCTGAAAATTTTTTTTGTTCTCATGAACACATATTACCATGGGCTCATGTACTCCCTCTTCTCCTCTCTTCCAGCGTAGCCACTGGGAGAGAAGAAACATTTAATTCCATAGTTTGTCCTCTTTTTAGTTGGTGTGCAGAAACTTTGGACCTCAAAACTCTCTGAACTTTAACCCCCATAATTCCTTTTCATTGGCCATGTTGGGTGGCGATGATGGGAAATAAATTTCCAAAATATCTGGAGGACCCAACGTCCCTCACCCTGAACTTTAGATGCTCAACTGCAGTGGTTTCTGATCCTTGTTTGTTCACATAGCTGTAGTTAAAATTAGTCACGATTACCAGTTTAGTCAGAGTAATAAATAAATAA